GAAATTTCGGCAAATCTGACCCAGTGACAATCGCGCCGCAGCTGCCGTTGAATCGGCCTTTGATACACTCGGCTGTTTTGATATACTCAAGCAAGAATCAAGATTGAATCGCAACCCCGTGTCTTCAGGATTTCTGTGCGTTTCTGAACGAACCTCGCCTTGAGGTCACACAAAGTTAATGCCTCTTTCCTCGAGTCGATATTTCAGTATGTACACAAAAGTATGCAGCGATGGAAGACGTGCATAGATGACAAGATGAAGCGTCCTTAGCATTATTTTGCAGAATTTTTTTGATTGTTTTGATTTTTTTTGATTTTTGTTTTGCAGGATTTATTTTAATTGAATTAATTTGCTCTGTTAGAGGGGGTCGTGCCAGGATCTCGATTTCGGGGGGGGGGGTCGTACCTCTGCGACCACGTACTCGACACGATTTTCACCCTGCTCACAAATAAGCAATTCTTAAAACTGCAGTACGCAACCCATAGAAGAATTGTGCGCGCGACAGACAATTATGCGTACGGCGGCTACGAAATTACGGTATCCCCGGCTTAGCCCCGATCGGCAGGCGATAGGGGAGATATCCCCGGCTATCGGTGGGCGTGGCCTCTCCCCGAGAACTGTCGGGGGGAGCATAGCATACCGGGACGGGGACCCCTCCCCTGTTGGGGGAGCATAGCATACGGCCCCTGATTCAATCCTCTGGGGGGACAAAAAAGGGTTGCGTCATAGGACCTAGCATACCTCTGTGTTTCTACCTGCCAGACAGTTAGAGCAGCGCTACTACCCTCCACTGATGAAGCACTCTTTCCCTGAGGGGTCGCGCTGCTCTAACTGTCTGGCAGGTAGAAACACAGAGGTATGCTAGGTCCTATGACGCAACCCTTTTTTGTCCCCCCAGAGGATTGAATCAGAGTAGGGGGATATATCCCCCTGGGGGAAGGATTGAATACCGCCCTGGGTTCGCGGGCACCTGTCAACTCGGCCGCGTTCGCCGCGGCCGCGCCCAAATGGTTAGCTGTCTGGGAGCCAAAAAACACGAGCAAAAGCAACACGGCACAGGGAGCACCTGAAAAACAAAAATAGAACGTAATAAAACCAAATTTATCGATTGGAAGGCGTCGACTGGCTTGTGCTCGTGTATTTGTTTTGGTGAGAACCTTTTTTCGTTTTCGTGTGAATCGTTGCTTTTCAACTGTCCTAGAATGGTTAGGCTCATGCAGTGTGTCTGAAAGTGGCAGTAAGCCCATAGTGAATTTATTGGTAAGCAAAAGCAGTAATTCATACAAAGGGAAAAGTTTTTAGCTAAAAAACCGCAAGAAAAAGCAAAACGGCAACAAAACGTCAAAATATAAAAAAATGTATCGAAAATTAGGATTATCGATCGAGGAAGGCGCCGACTGCGCGCCAAGTACGCGTCGTGCGCCAGAGTGCGTGTTGAAGTTTTTAACCCTGTGCGCGCGGTTCGCGCGGACCACATGGACCACAAACTGTGAAAGCAGTCTAACCCTGGCGCCGCCAACATGCCCACCGCGACCACATATTCCGCACTGAGCTCGTCATCTGGATTGAACTCCTTTGATTTCTAGTGGTTATAATATTTTTTCATTATTCTTTTGGGCACTATTGCACTCCAGTAGGGGTGAGACGGCTCAAAAACAAATTTTGCTGAAAATTCTCATATGGGGGTTACCGAGGTCCTGATCACGAATATGAGGTCCATTTCTGACGCTGCCGCCAAGTGGACGCCATTTGGCGCCACGACTGAATCTCATCAAATTCGCTTGAACTTGTACAGTGCGTTTCAAAAGTATGTGCACACCCTCAAAATTCACGTTTGAAAGGGAACCATGAGGTTTCGTGCTATGAAATCCTTCTCAATCGATTTCTCGTAGTCGATAACCTATCAATGGAAGCAAAGCAGATAATATCGCTTCACTTTCGAAAAAAAATTTTGGATGAAATTTTTTTCTTTGTTTCAAAAGTATGTGCACACTTAACAAAAGACAAAAACATAGCTGAGATTAGAAATCAGTGGGGCCTCCAGAGTTTCTAATTAGCTCAAACATCCTGTCCGGCATAATCTGAACCACGTTTGGCATAGCTGTTTCGTCGCTGTCGGCCCAAATAGCCTCTACCGCCGCCTTCAGTTCATCCGCGGTATTATACTGCCGGTTGCTAAAGTTAACGCCTTGATCAAGGGCTCCCTATAGGGTTGCAGTAAGGAGGACACAAGCCAATCTATCGCTTCAGCACCATTTGGTTAAGGCCATTCTTTGGTAGATTGCGAAGCATCGAAAGACACGTGGTCCTGTTGCTAAAAATGCAATTTTCGCTCCGCTTCGCTAAGGAAGGGCAACAGGTGACATTGGAGCACTGCTTGGTATTCTTTACAGTTCATACGCAATAATGGAACGGCAACTTCTGAATTTCCGCTGATTGCGAAACCGCCGCAGACCCATCAACGGGCCTCTTCCGAAATTCCTTCTCGAGAGCACGAGCGACTCACGGCCAAGCCTCTCCAGTAGTAGCAAAATCCACCCGGCCCGTCAAGATCGAACTCTTTCCATGAGTTAAGATTACCTGAGGAGAAAAAGTCCATAAAAAGTTGCTTGTTTTGAAAATAGGAAATTCTCGAAAAACCGTGTCTTCGCCCGGTGTCCTATCCTATGTTGCCATGTCTGTACGAGCAGACTCCAATGTGGCTAACTTGTGCTGGGCCTTGAAGTGAGTAGCCTTTCTCAGCGTCTGTCGAGTGGTGTATTCATTTGAGCGGATGAGGGGCTTAGTGGTCATTTTCGAGGCTGGAATAAAAATCTGAGCTCGGACTGTCAATGAAGAATCCGACAGGATGTGGGCTACTCTTTTGTTGTTCTGAGCAGTCAAGGATCGTGGATGGAGCGGAGTGTGTGCTGAGTATAATTATCAGGGTGCCAGATAAATCTTCGAATGCATTAAGGAGAACGACCAAGTTATCGTGCGATTTCTAGATTGGAACGTTCATTATCATGCAGAACCTTGATCTGAGCTTGCTCATCTTCAGGAAGAAGTATGGCGCGAATTGACATGATGACGAAATGAAAACAGCAAAGTCGGATTGAAATCGGTGGAAAATTCGGCGCCAAAATCTGATCTTCTTCAAGTGTGCACATACTTTTGAAACAAAGAAAAAAATTTCATCCAAAAATTTTTTCCGAAAGTGAGGCGATATTATCTGCTTTGCTTCCATTGATAGGTTATCGACTACGAGAAATCGATTGAGAAGGATTTCATAGCACGAAACCTCATGGTTCCCTTTCAAACGTGAATTTTGAGGGTGTGCACATACTTTTGAAACGCACTGTATTAGGGGTTATTTAGAAACCTGATCACGAGTATGAGGCTAATGTGACGGAGAGGGGCAGTCGCCGCGTGCGGCTCAGCGAAGTAGTGTAACTCGAGGTTTCCAACTAACATTCCAGCTCCTCACGCATGCTAAGTGACTGCCCTGACCCCGACTAGGGGCAGTCCTATCGTTGTTACTTTTTACCATCATCCTTATCTATAGTATTTCTATAGTATTCAGTTCTGGTACCACTCAACCCACCACACTCCGCCCACTTTCCTCCAAAAATGCCGCCGAGCGGGGGCGGGGGGGGCGGGGGTATGTACCCACTATGAAACAGTAAAAATTTACCAAAGATTCCCTTAATTTCAACCAATTTACCCCACTTCTTACAGTCAAAATCTCGAAGTCAGAATAGGCTTGGCTATGGATTTTTTGACGTGGCCTTTGCCGCACTTGATAAAAGCCGTGAGGATAGGCTGTTTCTAACGTACTCCATTGGATATCAGCAGAGCATGCTTATCCGCGCAACTTCCATCAAATGCGGCAGCCGCCACGTCAAACCCATAGACATGCCTAATCTGACTTCGAGATATCGAGCATACCTATAATCCCACTGCTTCGGTTTCTAAGGAGGGGGGTTTATACGCGCGCTCAAACGGCGAATTTTTCTCCCATGCGCTCCGTGATCAAGACCTCCCCCCCAATAACCGCAATAGGAGAAGTCTACGAAAAGAATTTAAAAAAATCTACTGGGGTTGTTATAGTGCAATAATGCCTTCTTTTCTATTCTATTGCATCTTTCACATCCTTATGCTCGCAGAGCAGAAGGCTCCTTTCACTTCACTGTTACACTTCTTGGCGCTCATGTCATTGAAGGAAGTTGAAGGTGTGGACATTGACAGCTATTCAGCTATTACGTGGAATCTCCACTTTACATGCGCAATGTTCATTCCAGAACCTTTACTGGCTAGCTGCGGCCAAAAATCAGAAGTAAGAAGACAGTTGACCGTTCATAAGTTCTCGGATAAACACCACTAAAAGTACTGAACAACTAGACCATCCTAAAAGGAACACTGAGACATACATAGCGCATACAATGGCGTAATAGCGGCCACTAACGGTTTCGAATTGTGTGTGATGTGACCAAAGGTTTTCTAGTTGTATCAGGTTTCCAAACAAATAACCTCGACATAACATAAGACCTTCGGTGAAGTCCAAATCCCAAGTGAAGACGTTGAGCTCAGGAGAAGCATATTCGCGACGGCTCGCGTTATTTGATGACGCCAGGGTTACGGTAGCCCGTTGGTTGCGTACTGATCTTTGGTTCATGTACCTGCTACCGCTCCAACTGAAGCATAAGCTCTCTAGTGCAGACCCACTCTATCTCACTGCCTTTAAAGGCAATCTTCAGGATTAAATTTGTGGATATGGACGTCCAATTAGGAAGTTGAGATCGGGCAGTGATGAAAACGAAAAAAAAATCAAGAAAAATGCCCCGTTATGCTTTATGAACGGATAGTTAGAATTGAAATAAGCCGTTTAGACAGAGCGAGCACCCGAAGTAAGGCGTGAATTATATTGTTCTGCTGTAGTCACGTACAATGCGCGACGCATTGACGCGTTAAAACGTGTGCTCGCCCTCGTTTTCTCTGCGCTCTCAACGAAGAGAGAACGCGTCGAGCAAACTCGCCAACTGTACTAAGCGCCGTTCATATAGGAGGTGGAGGACGGACACACGCCCGCGCGCGGCGCTCGGGCTCCCCGCCCGCACGGAGGAGCGTACGCTGCGAAGCGCGACGATTTTTGGATTGCTGCCCTAGACCAAATAGGTAGCCTCGTTGTTGGCATAGCCTTTGGCTATCACAGGAAACGCGTCGCTACGAGAGCAATGTACGTGATTGCAGCAGGAACGCCGTGATTCACGCCTTACTTCAGGTGCTCGCTCTGTCCAAACGGCTTATCTCGTTAGAATTGCCCCACCGCTCCTTGACTCGACTACAGAAATCGACACGGACTAAGAATTTCGGCGCAAATGGATACGGCGAACTGTAAAACGTCTTATCACTTACAAATAAAGTTAAATATTGACATGCCACGTCCACGGCGACACACAACGAAATTGCTGGATGAGAGAGCAATATAATGCCAACAAAATACAACGCAAACAACCACATGTAGATAGGTCCGCTACTTAAGATGAAGTGAGAGAAGAGAGAAAAGAAAAAGAGAAAAGCAAAAATAAAAGAGAAACCCCTTCCCTATGAGGTTTGTTGTAATTGATCCAACCCTTCAAACCACAAGTAGCATGCGTGACATTGATTCGCAATCTAACACTGCCGCAGCTGCGGGCTCAGGGCGCATGCATAGTCGGTCGTCCGACAGCAGCAAGCGCGCGTGTCGCACATAAGGCGCAGTCACGTGTTGTCCGGGTTTGCATTGGTTGACCGCGTCGCCTCCCCTATGCGACCGCGGTTGCGACACTTGCGATGGTTACGATCGTTGCTGTCGGACGGGTGTTACCAAATGGGTGCTAACTTAGTTGGGGGGGGGCCACGCGGCGGCGCGGCAGTCTGCTCACCTGGGCTCTCGAGCGAGACAGTGTAAACTCGAACATTCCAGCTTTTCACGCATGTCAAGTGACTGCCCCCACCCCCACCCCCCTAGACTGGCTACACTCCCCCTGGCCCACGGATTTCCGAACATGCCAGGCGAGCAGACTGCCGCGCCGCCGCGTGCCCCCCCCAACTAAGTTAGCACCCAAAGCGCCGGTTTACATTGCCAATGGGAATATAAGGGCTATAGTTGGGGAGGCGGTCATATGGCGCTATCCCGTTGGCATTAGAGCGCACAGGCCTCTCCTGCTGCGGTCGGACAACTCGTCCGTATTACTTAACTACCAGACTTCTGTTATCGATCCTGACAATATGGGTCTCAAAGATCTCGCTGAGTCTCAGATTCAAACAAGAGCGGATAGCTTCGCTGGCCTGATGCCAAGGCAAGGAGGAATCGAAAACGGAATGTGTTGCATGGACGAGTTGTCCGGCCACAACAGGATGTGGTAATTACAGCCTCCCGTTGCCACCGAGGCGCCTCCCACATCTCGACCAGAGAGCTCGACCGGATCATCGAATGACTAGATTGTCGTGGTTAATCGGTCTAGAATGGAGCGCATCAAAATATACTGGACTGCAAAGCCTCCCAAGTTCACCATTCGCGACTCTTCTTCCGGCTTCTTTGCTGCGCCGATTTCGCTCTGTACTCTTCACCCTTTGGAGCAACTGTAAAATTACTTCGCAGTGATTGAGTCACGATCATTTTTTAGAACTGTAATAAATTGCACTTTACAGCAACCAACAGTGGATGATAACAATTCCCATACTAGGTAGGTATTGTTCGCTTTTTGTAGAATAGTGCCAAAAAGACTGAACAATACTTATTACGTATAGGAATTGTTACCGTGCACTGCAAGTTGCTGGGAAGTGTACTTTATAACAGCTCCAAAATGATCGTGACACAATTGTTTCGAAGTAATTCTACAGGGCGGAAGTGATGTAGTGGCAAATGGCACGCTTACTACGCGCGCGGTCCGTGGATCGAATCCTGGGTCGTGAGTCACCCAGGCCAATCCATCCCTCCGGGGTCGGTTAATTGTACCAGACTTGTCTGGGAGGATAAAAAACACTGACTTGAACCATACATCGGCTGGCCCCCGCAAGTCATTGTATAGGCCACATCGCATTCAAAGCGCCACTACGAATGTACAATGGAAAGTAACCTCCCCTTCAAAAAGCCAGAAAGTGTCGGGTGCAGACCATACACCACAAGTGACGACGGCCTCCAGAAAATGCAAATGTTTTTTGCCAATGAAATGATTAACCTGTTACAGTTGTATTCGATCAGTTGACAGTAATTACAACTATCATTTACTAAAAATCAGCTATCACTATGAACCACTACTAACCAGATTTACTTTGAGGCCGTCGTCACTTGTGGTGTATGGTCTGCACCGCACAATTTCTGGCTTTTTGAAGGGGAGGGTAGAATGCGTGCCGCATCGCAAGACGGGATTGATCAATGGCAAATCTATATCCTTGTCCTTGTCTCAGCTCAGTCCTAGTAAATTGCCACGTTTCAAAGTGCAAGAATCGGATACGGTAGTTGACACGTGCGATCACCTACTTTTCGCTTGCGCAGGCGACCTATAGGCCGATGTCATAGTTTGCGAATCGAGCGATTCGCTAGCGAATCGCTGGATCCGAGCGTTGCGCCAGCGAATCGAACGATGTACCAGCGAGTCGAACTAGGTACCAGCGACTCAATAGTGGCGGGACCCAACTTTCAAAGGAAGCCCGCCACTTTCAAACAGTGTCACGTGACAGTGGACACTGTTTGAAAGTGGCGGGAAGTTGGCAGTGGACACTGTTTGAAAGTGGCGGGAGTTGGCAGTGGACACTGTTTGAAAGTGGCGGGAGTTGGCAGTGGACACTGTTTGAAAGTGGCGGGCTTCCTTTGAAACGTTGGGTCCCGCCACTATTGAGTCGCTGGTACATAGTTCGACTCGCTGGCGCAAAGTTCGATTCGCTGGTGCAACGTTCGATTCGCTGGCGCAACGCTCGGATCCAGCGATTCGCTAGCGAATCGCTCGATTCGCAAGACTATGACATCGGCCTTAAGGGGACTCTTGTCCCGCATCCGTCTACTGGTAACCCAAGGGACTCATTGAGCCGAAATGGCATTGAGCAGACTGTTCACCTCTATGCATTTTACTCAATAAAACCTGATAGTATAGTAGTACTTCTCATCCCATTTTTATGTCATTCAAGCGTTCACTTTGCAGCTTATCGTTAACAGTTAAATTGGATTTTTTTCCGTCTCTGCCTACTTTCCTTAAAGGCACGAGTCAGGCTCAGTGGACCGAAACCAATCCCTTTTGTCGTCTTTGTGCATGGCTACACACCCACAGAGACGTTACCATGCTCAGAATCTCAAACGGCGCCGTAGTAAGGCCCCAGGGCACGTATTAAGCGCTTTCGCCGCCTGGCGGCGCTCCGACCGCCCACCTCCGGAAGTGGTGCGTGGCTGGCATAACGTGTGTGAAACAAAAAAAAAAAAAAAAAAAAAAAAAAAAAAAAAAAAAAAAAATTAGCAGGTAGTTATGCCGTATCAACCGCGACTGAAGCCTCATTACGAACTTTTGTATACGCTGGCCTCTTTCCCAAGCACGCCTTCAGTCACTGCTACTAAGTGGGTGAAGCAGGCGGTTTTCGTAACACGCCTTGTCAACGATTTTTCTCAGTTTTTTCTCCACTGACGTTCCTTTCGCATCTCTATACTCGGTTTCAATCGCCATCCTACTTACTATAAAGCGCTTCGTCTGTCGTGTGTCGTGTGTCGTTCTGTATGTCTGTCACGAAATTCCCTAGCTCCTCGGGATCCGCCTGGAGGGACCGGGTCAAGTGTGGGATGGGTGGGCAAGGTCTCACGAAGTACAAAACACACATCAGCTAAGCGGAGCCTCGTATAACTTCGTATAATGTACATTATAATGTATGCTATACCCACACTATCCTTTGTCCCGTCTCCGGGAACATGCTTGAAGTTCAATGAATTTTCATTGCAAACTCCGTCCACTTTGGCGAGGCCCCGCCCACCGATGACAGCTGCCCTCCACTACCCCACCACCTCCATCCACCATTTTCCAGCTCGCTAGGACTTCTCCGACCCGAATTATGAGGACTTGTAGAAAACGCTGTACACTTCAGAGCGCGCTCCGCCCATTGTGGGCGGACCCTTCGCCCACGTTTGCGCGCTTCGTTGTGATTTTTAGTGACTTTTTCTACCCCAGAGGTAACACGTGCCCGTCTGTAATGATTTTTGTTCATTAGTGGTCAGAGAAAGCACTTGCTTTCTTCTTTGCGCTTGCTTGGTTGGTTCTTCCAGAGTGAGCTTTATTTCCGTATTATATTGATATTAGGTGGTGCAGTTTCTGCCCAT